TTTCTGATTTTGCTGATTTGGATAGTTTCTGTATGCCTTTTAGTCAGTTTGGCTAAGGGTTTGTCTATCTTATTGATTTTCTCAAAGAACCAGCTCTTGGTTTCACAGATTCTTTGAATTGTTTTATTTGGTTCTAATTTATTGATTTCAGCCCTGAGTTTGATTATTTCTAGCCATCTACTCCTCTTTGGTGTCTTGCTTCTTTTTTTCCCCCCTAGGGCTTTCAGGTGGGCTATTTAGCTGCCTGTATGAGATGTTACAAATTTCTTCTTGAAGGCACTTAGTGCAATGAACTTTCCTCTTAGCACTGCTTTCATTTTGTCCCATAAGTTTGGGTATGTTGTGCCTTTATTTTCATTGAATTCTAGGAAGTCTTTAATTTCTTTCTTTATTTCTTCCCTAAGCCAGCTGTTATTGAGTAGGGAGTTGTTCAGTTTCCATGTGTGTATAGGTTTTTTGCTGTTTCTGTTGTTGTTGAGTTCCAGCTTTAGTCCATGGTGGTCAGATAGAATACAAGAGATTATTTCCATCTTCTTGTATCTGTTGAGGCTTGCTTTGTGACCAACTATATGGTCTATTTTGGAGAAGGTTCCATGAGGTGCTGAAAAGAAGGTATACTCTTTAGAATTTGGGTGAAAAATTCTGTAGACATCTATTAGGTCCGTTTGATTTAGGACCTCTGTAAGTGCCTTTATTTCCCTTTTTTGCTTCTGTCTAGATGATCTGTCCCTTGGTGAGAGTGGAGTGTTGAAGTCTCCCACTATTAAGGTATTGGGATCGATGTGTGATTAAGCTTTAATAATGTTTCATTTACAAATGTAGGTGCTTTTGTATTTGGGGCATAGATATTCAGAATTGTGATGTTCTCCTGGTGGATTTTTCCTTTGATGATAATGAAGTGCCCCTCTTCATCTTTTTTTATTAGTTTTGTTTGAAAGTCTATTTTATTAGATATTAGAATAGTTAATATCTTGTTTTCTTGGTCCATTTGTATGAAAAACATTTTTCCAGCCCTTTTCTCTGACGTAGTGTTTATCTTTGTTGCAGAGGTGTGTTTCTTGGATGCAGCAGAATGTTGGATCCTGTTTGCAACCATTCTGTTAGTTTTGTGTCTTTTTATTAGAGAGTTGAGTCAGCTGCCCCTCTAATCACCAATTTCGGAGTTTCAGATCCTTTGCCCTTCAGATACATTGCATGCTGGTTGCCACCATCTTGAGTTCTCTCTTCTTTTCTTCTCTTACTCTCCCAGTCCCATATACACCGCCCAACCCTGTTCTCTCCTCTCATGGCCTGTGTCAGCCAGGCCCAATTCACCCTTCCAGATGACTCTGACTGTCCTCTCCCTAATATTTATAATAAACTTTCTCCTGCTTATACCTAGAAGCAGTCGTGTCCTGATTTTTTTTTTTAATTCAAAGCCATAGCATCTTGAGAAAAACAGTTTTGAAACTGCAAGACTTCTTTTGTCTCACAGTTTTAGAAGTGTAGTAGCTGGATAGTTCCAGTGCTATGAGCTTATGATGAGACAGGAGAATGGTACCAGAAACACATAGTGAAGGACCATGTTCGCCTAATGGTAGCTCAGAAGCAGGAAAAATGGGTCAAGACATAGCCTTGAAAGCAAGTCCCTAGCCCCCCAATTTCTACAACTAGGCTTCTCTTAAGTCTCCAGCACCTACTGATAATGCCATCAGATTATTTTATTCCTTCAGTGAATTAATCCACTGAAAACATCTCACTTGTTATTCAATCATTTCCTTAAACTCCAATCAGCAGGCAACCATGCACAAGGCTTTATAAAATATTCCGATTATAACATAGCATAGCACTTATCAAGAAGGTATATGAGGAGAATGGTGCTTAAGAAAACCAAAGACAGGGATAATCTTAAGGCAGCAGAAAAAAAAAAAAAAAAAAAAAAACCAAACCAAAACAAAACAAAACAAAACAAAACAAAACAAAAAAAAACATTAAGGAAACCTGGCAGAGAAATGGGGGAAAAGATTCTTAAAGTCCAAGAATCAGGGAGTTTTCTACGAGATTGTGTCTCCTCGTAAAGTCAAAAACAGCACTCATAAATTCTCCCTGAGATGGTTTGAATAAGAATGGCCACCATAGACTCAGAGAGGGTGGCACCACTAGGAAGTATGGTCTTGTTGAAAGAAGTATGTCACTGCCTGTGGGCTTCAAGGTCTCAGATGCTTAAGACAGGCCTTCTGTTTCACTCTTTTCCAGCTGCCTTTGATTTCAGATGTAGAACTCTCAGCCACCTCTCCAGCACCATGTCTGCTGGTGTGCTGCCATGCTTCCTGCCATAATATATTGAACATAAACCTGAACTGTAAGCCATTCCCAATTAAATATTTTCCTTTATAAGAGTTGCTGTGGTCATAGTATCTTTGCACAGAAATCCTAAGAAACTCACCAACATGACTCACTCATGAGCCGAACAGTAATGACTCCCATGGGCATATTAAAGTAGATGGGAAAGCTCCCGAGGTCTGAACCCTACACAAGGAACAATAGGCAATGAAGGACTGCAGAGAACAGGAGAAATAGTCTTCCCCAGCAAAGACCAGATTCATTGGTTATCCAATACCAAGTTATGAGCCCTGCAAATACATATATGTAATATTATAAAGACTAAGAAGGTTATTCTATATTTAGGTTCCTCTTCCTCCATCTTATAGTCTAAGTGAGGATATTTTAGGTTTGACTAGAATTTGATATATATATATATATTTTTTTCTTTAATGCCCAGTGGAAAATTACACAATTTTATTTTAAGAACCTGAGGTCAAGTTGCCCCAGTTAGCTTATCCTGGCTCTGTTAAACTGCCTATTTGTGTAAAATCTACCCATCCAGCTAATTGTTTAATCCAGCTAATTGTTCTGCTAAAATGCTTGCTTGCACAAAATTTCCCCCTTCAGTAGCTTCTGAGTAAATAACAGGATGTGGTTTTTTTACCCTTAAAAGCACCTTACCCTAAACACTTGTTGCTACATTTGGGTCCTAACTATCTGAGTAAAGTCTCAATAGACTGGAATAAAGAGTTTGAGTTGGTTGTAATCTTCCTCCAAGTCGTGTTCTCTGGCAGGCTCTCCATAACAGTGAAGTATACACAGTGTGGAGAACACTCATTCCTGTTCCTTTCAGGGACTAAGCAGTTGATGTTTTGGGGACACACCTTGCCACAGTCTATTCTTACCCAATTTAAAGGTCACGTGAATTTACACTACCATGCATTTTCTGTTGAAGGGTACTTAAGTCTCTTCCATCCAGGCTTATTTGGTGAAAGTAAGAAATACATATAACAAAATTGTAGAGCCTCGAGTCAGGCACAACACATGGTGCTTTACCACCTTGTTATACTTACATGTTTTTAGTGATTCATGTTTAAGACAACTACATCTTAAATACAGAGCACATAGGGATTCCAGAACTGATCTAGTGACATTATGATGTTGCAGACATGTGAGACTTTAGAGAAGGAAGGAAGTAGAAAGTCTACTGAGGCCTGTTCCGAGAGATTGCTATGGAATGGGACAGGCTTGCTTATTTAATTTAGAGATATTTCATGGTTACCCTCTTACTCTAGATGTTCCTAACCAGAATCTTAGCAGAAATATTTCAGATACCCTAGGTGATACCCTACTATTAAAGAGTTTTAAGAAAGTTCCATGAAGGAAAATACATGATGTGTGTTATCTTCTGAAACTTTGAAATATTTAACATACAAATAAATAATTGGTGTTGCTTAGAGATGTGAGTCATGAAAAAGTAAAGAGTCACTGAAGGTCTCTACAGATCATTGAGGACAAGGGAAGACTATGGCTCTAGTTTCATTCTATTGCTGTGATAAAATACCCTGGCCAAAGCAACTTAGAGATAAGAGATCATAGATTATAGTTCATCATTGCAGGAAAGCCAAAGAGGAAGGAGCTGAGATAGCTGGTCGCATCACATCCATAATCGAAGGCAGAGAGAAGTGAATGCTCTCAGGCCACCTTCCTGCTGCTGCTGCTGCTGCTCAGCTAGCAAGTCTCATTCCTCCACAGTTTCTGACCACGACACAGTGGCACCTACGTTCTGAGGGCATCATCCGACCTCAATTAACAATCAAGGTGACCCCAACAGAAGGTTAGCATGGCACTTTGAGTGTGTGTCTGCTTTTGTAATGGAAATTTCTATGTACAGTAAATGCCTAGCTTCTAGAATGGACGTGTTGAGCTTCTCCACACATTCCCAACCCCATGGACTTTCCTTGAATCGTATGGACTCTGTGTGTGACTCTAAGCAGGAACCAGATTTGTCAGTGGAGATCCGCCAATTACTGAAAGGAAAGGTCTGAAGTGCCTGTCAGGTGAAAACCACTACTGAAACATGCCATTCATTTTTTCATAAAAATCTTGGTGTTAAAATGATTATGTTGTCACGATTATGGGTTTCTGTGTGATAAATCTAGTTTATAATCCTAACCCAGAGTGATATACTATTATGTGTTTTAACACTAGCAATAAAGTAGTATTTAGATTTTAAAAAATGATAGCAACAACAGAGATGATAAAATGAACCAGTAAAAAATTTAAAGTAAATTAGTTATGGATTTATCAGTATTAAAATTATTTTTAATTTTATTATGAAAATTTTTTAATCCTTTGTCTAAAATAGAACTTTTTATATAGATGGTCATTCTGAAGTTTCCAGAAATTTGATGGAAAAAAAATCCTCACATTTCTATATATTGTGAAACACTAGTTATTAACATATTCCTTTAAACAAACACAAACAAAGAACCACCAAAGGACAATAGAAGCAAACAGGCAAAAACTCCACAAATAGCCTAATAGCATTGTGAAGATTCGTTTGTTTGTAAGGCTGGTAATTTAAGTACACAAGGCCAGAAAATGCATGTTTTGAATTTGTGTGTGTGATTTGCTTTCATTGCTAGAGATACACTATTTTGTGATAGGCAGTTGTTTGCTTATGCTTCCTTTTAGAGAAACGTCATCTGATTCTCTGTCCCTACTGCTGCAGGGCCAACTGCAAAAGGGAACTGGTGTGTGTGTGTGTGTGTGTGTGTGTGTGTGTGTGTGTGTGTGTGTGTGTGTGTGTGTGATGCTGAAACCACAGGACGGGGACTCCTGCATGATTGCTATGGCCGACTCCATGGCAAGATGAAAACATGTAAGTAAACCTTTAGGAGTACGAGAGCCAGTGGAAGGTGTCTGAGACGCAGAATGTCCCTAAGCTCATCCTACTGGGGTCCTATTGTAGACCCCAGCCTCAGACTGCCTTGGTACTGCAAATAGGGTATGGGGTTAACCATGTATGAACAGACTTTAGCCCCAGTCTACATGACAGCATATTCAAAAGACTGAAAACATGACTGACGTACTTATTATTCAGCGATTTCATACTCAGCAGTGGTCCGGGTCAACACCCAGCCTGCGTAAGGCAGGACCACAGACGCACACTCTGGGCTTGCAGGCCTAGAAGCAGGAGCCGGCAGAGCAGCCTGAGAAGATCGCCCAGCTGTTGCTGATTCTGGCTGCGGGGAGAGGGAAGCCACCTGCGAGTACCGACCCTGGCACTGGCCACCAGCTGCGGCGCTGCCTTGAGCATCCTCCGTAGCTCGCACAGCAGAGCCAACTGCAAAAGGCAAGAGAATAATCGCAAGGCCGGGACCCCCGCGGCTCTCCCCTAGCCCCTCGCCACTAGTGCGGGACCAGCACGGAGCTGACCGAGCCGCCGTAGGTGAGGGGCTGCGTCCCCGCCTGCCCAGGCCGGTGCGCCAACACGGATCCCGCCGCCGCCGCGTCCCCTGCACCATGACCGCTCTGCGCGCTGCGGTTACAGGTTGGTTATGGCCGCTGGCCTTGGAGGTTGCAGCGTGGTGGGCAGGAGGCCGGGAGGCACCCGGCTCGCCCTTCGCTGGGGCCCGGCCTGGGGAGGGGTTGGACCCGTGAGGGTGCAGAAAGCTCACTCTGCAGCGCCCAGGGAAGGGACCCTGAGAGCCACTGTGCGCACCCCCCACCCCCATCCTAGTGCAAGCTGCTCCCAGGCCGGCCTTGGGAAACCCTGGGCCGCCGGATGGGGCCTGCCCAGCCTGGGCATCCAGCAGGTGGAAGCAGGTGGCTGGGGGTGGGGCCGATGTGCATCTAGACCACCACTGAGCTGGCCTTGTCTGCCTCTGGCCTTCACCAGAGTCAACCCATAACCAGGAGGAGGGTTTGTGGAGAACCTTTGCTCCATCAGCTTTTGGGCAGGCCTTCCTGGCATTACCCCCTCCATTATCCCTCGGACTGCTGTTTGCTGAACTGCCCGCATTTTATTAATTGGCCCGGCTGAGCAGCTGTCATTAGGGTGACCTGCACCATTGAGCAAAACCTTCTCCTGCCAAAGCAACTCCATTTTGTCTTTGAACCTATAAGAGCCCAGCTTGGATGGCCTGGCTGGAAGCAGGAAGTGGGTCCAGAAACCTGACCCCAGGGCTACTTATTTCTCTGACTTAAATGTTCCTTTGAAACAAGACAATGTCCCTGAACCTGGACCGTAAGTTCATTACCGTAGGAAAAAAAATATTTCAGCTTTGGGCCCAAATTTCCTTCATTATATTGTGAAGGAATGTGTGAACACGCACACATACACACACACACACAACTTTTGGAAGAATTTAAGGACTCTATTGTGAAGGATGTGTGATAACACAGACACACACACATATACACCTTTGGATGATTTTAGTCTTTAGACCCAATTTCTCCTGTGGGAAATGTGAGTAAGGCTTCTTGTGGCTTTCATTTCTGTAGTTTTCTCTCACATGAATTAACCACCAAAAATTAACAGGTGGATGTTTCTGCTTTTGTTTTTTTAAATTTATGAATCCTCTTCTTATAATTTCTGCTGCAACTTTGTTGTTCTATTTGGGCATTCCTGTCTCCTCTGATACAATTTTGACCCAGCCATTAATAAAACCATATTAAGGAAAGCGGGAAACTTGAACCTTGTCCAATCGTTAAAATGTGTGAAGGGCCACTGGCTTCTCTTAGCTGTTCATGGGTGATCAGTGTGCAGTCATTGGAGAGGATGGTACTAGGAGGACTATAACAACGAAGTCATGATTTTGAAATGGTAACAATGTACTTATACCTTTGTGTATGACTTGAAAGGATATTCAAGAGGAAACATGTACATTTAAAAGAAGAAAACCTACTCATAGGCGAATCATTTGTGAGCTGAAGGCTACCGAATGCTCTCTGTTCCTCTGTGGGTGGCAGTGGGTTCCAGTTGCTGTTTTACCTGCCTAAGAGGAACTGTATGTGTCTGTGTGTATCTGTATTCCATCATTCATTTGTGGTGCTCAGATAATTTTAGACTTAGATGACTGCATGAAAAATGAGTCACATGTAGATCTCAAGTTGTAAGAAACAGTTCAGTCTCAGCCATAATATCCTAACAGAAGCCAGATGTTGACCTAGGATCTGGGTGCTCTTTGAGGGAAAGAGATGGCCTCAGCCCTAAGAAACTGTCAGGAAAACACCGACACAGGCCATCACACATTGAGTCCTCTATTCTAGTTTAGAACTGGAAATAATGCTCTTGAACATTAAGAGGTTGTAAATTACCCCCTTTCTCAAATGGTATCTGTTTTTGAACTTGAAAGCCTGTCCCATGGTAAGTCACTGTCGAGGGCTTGTCCAAGAAGCTTTCTGCCTTGGACTTTTTCCTGTACAAACATTTCACATTTTTTAAGATATTTGTTATCTTCTAAAATATTTCTTGTATTTTTGGAGGTTATAATTCCATCATTTCTCCCTTCCCTTGCCTCCTCCCAACCCCTCCCATATAATACTCCTTGCTATCTTTCAAATTCGTGCCCTGTTTCTTCATTAATGCTTATATACATACACACTCACATACATAACTAGCTACAACATGCGCAGTGTCTGTGATTACTTGTGTGTATGTTTTCAGGCCTGGCCATTTGTTGTTGGATGAACAGTTGGTGTGCTCTTTCCTGGGGACGCTATCTCTCCTGCTCTCAGCATCCCTTTCTTGCTTGCAGGTTTTGTGTAGGGTGGGGCCTTGGGCTTTCTCCTGTTATTGCTGCTGTCCTTGCTCAGCTTACTTTTAGAAAGTCATGTTGGTGAACATAAGTAGTTTTTTATTTTAAATAATAAAGGAGACAGAGACAACTAAATGAGTTATCCATATAGTTTTTAAGCAAGCTCATGCAAATGATTACAACACTTGTGTTTTTAGTAACCTTACGCCATTGGTTCTACATACTATTTATTGTAAATATTTTGAAGTGTTCCTGTAGAGTCTGCTTACTTTAAAACTTTGTAACTATCCTCCAACAAACATAACCTCACTTGATCAACTATTACATCTGTTATTGAGTACTTGTTGCTTCTACTTTTTCACCACTCTAAAAAACATCCTGAAAGGAAATAATGATACTTTAAACAACGTCTATCTTAAGGTTTTTTTTTTTCTGAAAAATTATTAACAATTACATTCTTTAGAAAAAGCACAAAAACTTTATGGATTTATACATATTTATACAAATATAAAACTCAATTTCCTTTTTAAAAGTTTACTCTCTAGTGATATGTGTGTGCCTTCATGAATTAATGTGCCCTACATGTATTCAGGTGTTTGCGGAGGCCAGAGAATGTCAGATATCCTCAAACTAGAGTTAGAATAGATTATGAGCCAACATACAGGTGCTGGGGACTGAACCCAAATCTACTGTAAGACTGTAAGTTCTCTTAACTGCTAAGTCTTCACTTCAACTCCATAAGATATAATTTTACCATGTATTATAGTCCATGCTTTAGAAATAAATCTGCCATTGTTAAAACGTGTGTGACCTCCCCTCTGAAAGAAGAAAAAATAACTTAATGATCATTGTGTTATTTAAAGACTTATAAAATTCTACTGAGAATAGTAATAAAAATGAACTTCTATAATAAAACTAAAGCTGAAAAACTATAAAAATTGAAATCTGAAAAGAAGTAAATACTCAGGAAAGGCAAATTGGAAGGTCATCAGAAGAGGGAGAAAGCAAGGAACAGGACAGGAGCCTACCACAGAGAGCCTTTTAAAGACTCTGCCCAGCAAAGGATCAAAGCAGATGCTGAGACTCATAGTCAAACTTTGGGCAGAGTGCAGAGAACCTTAGGGAGATAGAAAGACTTGGAGGGAACAGGAGCTCTACAAGGAGAACAACAGAACCAATATATCTGGGCCCAGGGGTCTTTTCTGAGACTGATACTCCAACCAAGTACCAAGCATGGAGATAACCTAGAATCCCTGCTCAGATATAGCTCATGGCAGCTCAGTCTCCAAGTGGGTTCCCTACTAATGAAAACAGGGACTGTCTCTAACATGAACCCAGTGGCTCTTTCTTTGATCACCTCACCCTGATGGTTGAGCAGCCTTAGCAGGCCACAGAGGAAGACAGTGCAACCAGTCCTGATAAGACCTGATAGGCTAGGGTCAGATGGAAGGGGAAGAGGACCTCTCCTAGCAGTGGATTTAGGGATTGGCATGGGAGGAGAAAAGAGAGGGAGGGTGGGATTGGGAGGAAATGAGGAAGGGGGCTACAGCTGGGATACAAAGTGAATAAACTGTAATTTGTAACAAAATAAATAAATTTAAAAAGAAAAAATAAAATAAAAAAAGAAAGAAGTAAACAAATGCAAAAGGTTTAGGGAAAATGAGAGTGGGGCTCAGTGTGCTTTTGTTTTTCTCTTTTTACTCAGACGTCACAGAAGTAATCAAAGCAATTTTTAGTGAAAACTTTGCACCCGCAGTTGAGGACAAAGATGAACATACGTCCTGGACTTTAGAAACCAAAATATTTGGGTGGAGTCCGTAGAGATGTTGCAGTTTACAGCTCTCTCTATAAGGGTTTCAGGAAAACTAAGAAAGAGAAATTCTAGGATAACTTCCTAATGTTAGGATGGTGATGGCTAACCCTGGGCCTTGGGTGTTTGTGGGACACAGGTTTCACTTCTGAGGCAGTTTCCCCTAGAAGATCCCAGGGCAAGGGGAGTTAGACCCAAAGGAATATGCTCATCTGCCAGGGACTGAACCAGCAAGTTCAGAGCTGGAGCAGGTGCAGGGCTCCAGGGAGGTAGCAAAGGAAGATTAGAAATACAAAAGACCAGAACCCTGTAGCCAAAGGAGTAATTTATGGGGAGATCAAGAGGGAAAATTAGATCCAATTATGCAAAGGAAAGAGATGAAAGGAAGACTTTGTCTGCAAAGAGGATGGCATGCCACAGAGACAGCCAACAAAGACATACACACATGCTCCTCATGACCAAGAGACAGCACAAGTGGAACGCAGCCGTGTTTTAGAGTGAAATAAGATCATTTTCCCCTTTTAGATAAAAAGTATCCAAATACACAGATCAAAATAGATGATCATGTGCCAGGAAAAATAAATAAAGCAGAGCCAACATCTACATATAGCCTGTGAAGACTGAATCTGAAAATGAGAAGGAAAATAACTCATCAACATTCTGACCAACTATTTGCTTCTTTAAAATTATATGTATACAAATGGGTAATTTATACTGACTTGATACTCTTTCTTCTAAGTTATCAATAAGCAGTAAAATACTATCCTAAAAATGAGTAATTCTGAAAATATTACAAAACAGTTCTTTTATAGACGCAAATGGAAAAAATGTGTGCAAAGAAACTGAAAACAGTGAGATTGAAGTGCATGAATACAGAAAAATAGTCAGTAAAGAGAAAAAGCACTTCAGCAGTTATAGTTGCTATCCCCAATAAAGTTCTGAGTACAGACTCCTTCCAAATATAGCCTTGGTGTTATAGAA